CAGTGCACAGAGAGGCTCTAGAAGAGACACATACTTAGGTCTCCATAGGGAGGTGCCGTAACAGGCGTTGCACTGTAGGGGCTCCGGAGTTGGTCTAGTAAGAGGACCCGTTGCCTCCTTCAAGTGCGGATGGTGGCCACTGGGGAGGTTTTAGTGAGGTAAAAATCCCACACTCCCTAGTCCTTTTAACCAGCTGAAGAAAGAAGGTTTCCCCCCGTAAACAAAATAAAAGGGATCCGCGGACCACAGGTTGGGAAACGATGATCTAGACCTCTCACATACTCTGTGATTATTAATACATACAGGTCAATTTAATCCCTTGCCAATTTGCAAACCACTTAAGCTTACACTTTCAATATCCATTACAACTACCTATTTTATAAAAATAAAAATGTGTTTTTATACTGCATGGCTTTAACGGGGATGCTCAGTGTTAAAAATGTTAATGACATTATCTCCCCATTTTAGTTATGAGGCTGAGCAGAGTAATTGTAATTAGCAATCCGGTTAGTACTATCAATAAACTGGCTCTAGTTTTTATCATTGTCCATTGTAATTTTCCTATATAGAGGTATAATTGGGTATTCGTCTTAATCAAAAATAAATTATTTCGACTTTTCAATACAATAAAATATTAGAAAATAATCATATTTTTATTAATTGATTTTATGACCAACTTAATTTTAGTATTTTTACAACATTTTTTTTTAGAAATAAGTATGCTGTTTAACGCTACAAATGTGACGTCACACTACACAATCTCGTACAATTCATAAAAAACTGTCGTTTTGACAGTTCGAAAGTAGTTGGCAAGTAGGTACTCATTTATGGTCGTTTAGTAAATTAATACATTTTAAAGTAACGATTTTATTAAAACTATATTACTAGTTTTATTGTTTTATTTTCAATTCATATTTCAGTTCATAATCTATTCAGTTATATGTATGTATTGTGTATGACATTTTTTATGAATTATGTCGCTGCAGTTTACTTTTCTGATCTTAGTCGTAGCCAGATGTTTTATTTGATCTGGATGGTAACCCTAACAAATCTGGTTCAACAATATGCAAACAAATAATTTTGTTTAAGGAATGTTTCTAAATCTATATCTCCAACTTCATACGTAATAAGCTACTACACTTATAAACGATTTCACGAAATAAATCTCACTTAACTTACCAACACACTATACGGTGAACCCATCAATCATTATTCTCAAATAACTACCTATACCTAAGTACCTACATTTCATCGCATATCAAAAATCACGTTCAACCATTTTGGTATCAAAAAAATGCTTACTGCCGTAACTAAAACTCAAATTGCGGCGATCCATAGTATTTTCACCGGGCGTTTCCCACGGCTGCGCGCACGCAAGTCCGTTCCAATTAGACTGTACCGAACTAATTCCTGCCCATGCGCCGCGAATGGATACGTGCAGAAGGCTCACTTTAAAAGAATATTTATTTCAAGTTAAATGCGTGTAATTTGGTTTCGCGGACACAGTTTTGTTTGTTTAGTAAAATAAATTCAATGTTCATTGTTCTTAGGTTGGTATTTGCTTGTCGTACTTTTTTTTGAATTTAATCTTCAATTTATTGTAAGTAAAGAGTATTTCTTTGCTTATTTAGAACGACCGTAATCTCATAATGCGAAAAAAGATACTTATAGGCACTGTTAGATCCCATCATTGCATTATGGACCTTTTTTCGTCTACTCAAAGATTAAACAAATATTCCATATCATTTTAGAATACCAAACCTTTTTTACCAACAAAAATGGACACTCCAATCCATACCAAACTTTATAGCGAAAATTTTCGTTTTCTGCGTATATTTGTATTCTCATGCGCGTGCGTCGTCTTACCGTCCATAATCGCTCCTTCTAAAGGCCTGGTAACACGAACGGCTTTTTTGGATGCGCTCGATTTGGTCGCAACGTTAATTAAATAATACTGTTTGTTTGATTGTGTAGCATTGTTTCTCATTGCTTGTTTTCTTAATGAATTCCTGTCTAGGTCTTGTTCGGACTTGTTTGGCTGATAAGTGAAATTGGAGACTAAATAAAGTCTGCGGTACAATGTCCATTGTATTTGTAAGCGGTTATTAATATTTATTTAACATTTTTCGCTCATTAAGTAAACAAAGTATTTGGTTTGCATCATTCTATCAGTTCGTTAAGTTTTAACTTCTAAGCAATTTCTATCATAAGTAGTTTGAAACCGAACATCAGTTTTTATTAAATCTAATCAGCCTTTCTCCAGCTCTTCCTTTAACCATAGTCCAATATCATGAATAACATAATTGGGCGTGTAAAATTACTTTAGAGCGTCACTAAAGTGTCTGATTACTTGAAGACCTGTAATCACTTCACGTAATTAAGAAACTTAGTTTTAGAATGGAAGCTATCTTTAACTAATCTCCAGTCTATAAAATCTCTTAACCATTTTATACTTTAATCATTGGGTACTCGACATGCGGATTTCTGGGTTTCGCCAGAAAGTGTTTTATCATCTATATTACCGTGAATAACGTATCATATATTACTTATTAGTGTGTCTAAAGATCGGTGTTGCTTATAATCTGCACCATCTTGAACCTATTAGTGACTATGATCATTTAGGACAGTTGGCCGTCTTATTGGGCTATAGTAGTGAGGATACAGAAAGCTCCTCTATATAACAGTATATATAATAACTCCTGTGCAGTTACGTAGCCTCAAAGAGACTGGCCTCAATATATCCTTTTGGATACTTATGTTTTTAATTTAGTAATAAGTATGAGATATAACCTCGTGAAGACTTTGACATACAACTTAACTGTTAAATATGTAGGTGTTGATAAATTCATATTTTTTATTATTTTCATCAAGTCTTCAGTAGCACAGGTTAGTGTGTAAAGTAGCACAATTTTGGTTACCGTTAATTTTAATCACGATATATTGTGGCTCGTTGGTCGCATGGTCGCAAGCTTACATAGCTGTCGTGAAAGAAAAGGTGCGATTTATGAGTGGTGTAAAATATTACTGAGTAGGTATTAATGATTTTATCCTGTGTATAGCAATAGGCTTGGGTGTTTTATATGGTGATGGGACTCAGAATAAATCTGGTGATTAGTGGTCATCACATTTCGTTTCGTTAGCCTACCTCTTTAAGAAATGAAAGGTCATGAATAACATCACGCCTTAGGTAACGTGACATTATAATCTTTCATCGGAAGCAATTTGACCACTGTTTACATTCTCGATTTTCATAATATTACGATTCATGGTTTCGTATTTAGGTGTCACGTTTTTTTTTTGAACAGATGCGCAGTGACATGTGAGTTTATAGAGTCATGTTTTAGTGTCATGGTTATATTTACGTAGGTATTAGAAGACCTAATTGTCTTTTTTTGAGGGGGGAAAATCTTCCAATGACTTGGTTGAGGTGAGAGGATGTGTGTCAAACTCTTACTGACTAAAAACTACCCCGTTACTTCTTCTTCACTTCAAGCTGGGGTCCCGGCAACCCGTTAAGTCCTCCACGGCTCCGTATCGGCAACAGTCCTACCTGGTGTTCCTGTGGTGGTCTGATGGCTTTATGAGGTGCGCGCGGAACGCAACGCGCCGTATGCTCGGGTCTGGTTCTGATATAGTAGGCTGGGCTGGCAATGCTCTATGAGAAACCTGAACCTTTTAAATTATGATCAGCGCGGCAACTCACCAGCTGAATATGGAGATTATAGCAAACCCTACATAAAGGCTTATAATCAAGCTGTGAGCTGCCACTGGACTTTAATGATGATGTTGATGATTTTAGTATCGTCTGATTTATAGAGGAAGTACTAATTTGACAATTATGTCTTTATTGATTGACGTTACTATTGCATCGATAATTACAAATCGATCTCAAGCAAGTATGGGCAAAACCTTAAAGAAGTCTTAATAAAGAAGATTTATTATAGACTTCCCGTGGCAACTAGGAAAATGTTGTCTCATTACCATTTTCCCTTATTAATCATGGAATGTAATAAGTGTCTATTGCAAAGAAATACGGTCGCGTTTTTTTTCAAATAGATTAGATTGTTTTTTCAAAGCAGGTCGATGTTCTAACACGGTATAATTTTATAGTTGCTCTCAAGTAATAAAATCTAGCACGCTCGTTGAATATCGTGTGAACTACACCCACTAACAATGCAAAGAAATTTACTCCAATATTTAATAAAACATCACTCCAATTACATTTTTACTGAACATGTGCAACGTGTTACTCGTTTACGCAATTTAGACTGAAACTACAAAATTATAAGATATATTTTAGCTTGATAATGAGTTTTTTCTGAAGCAACCAAGAGATTGTAGGAAATGAGACCTTTATTTATGAGGTATTGCAATATCTAATTAAGATGTGAATTGAGTCTTTTGATAAGGAAATGAAGATGTGCTTGTGTAGTAATTAGACGGTAGGTGGATGAGATATTGCGGGACTGAGACATTGTGAAATGAAGCTTAATTAGGAACATAGAAGTTCATAAATAAATATATGGTTAGTTTATATAAAAATAAATAAATGTATTAAAGTTTTGTTAGTACAAGTACAAGGGACTACCGAAACAAAACAAATATTACTGCAAACATTGTTTATTTTCTTCCATCATTTCAAATAGCCTACAGTAAACATCCTCTAATTCTCTATCCTAACAACTCCTTTCTGAGAACTAATTATCACAGTACAACTTAGGTGCTAACTAACACTACGCGGTACTTAAACGTACAAGTAAATGCTTTAACCGACGCGGAAGACGTTGAAGTTAGGAATACAAATAACAGATTACTACTGAACAAAAAAACCTTAATTTATTAAATTAATAAAAAAGAAAAACTTCAACAAGCAAAGCGAGAACAATCCATACTTCGTAAACACACATCAGTTCTAGGAACGTTAATAGAAACAAACAACAATATAAATGATTATCACACGTTGTCACACGGTCCTTGGGCATGCGAGGAGCTGGGCAGCGTCACCACGGCCGCCACATCGACTGGGCGGAGTCTGACTCGGAGGCGGGGCTGTGAGGCGGCGAGGGCGGCGCGTACGCACGCTTTGCGAGCGCAGCTTCCGCGTCCATCGGCTCCGCCAGCCTCTTTAGCCCTCGATCTGGTAACGATGTCCTCTGCAGCACCGCCTGCTGCTGCTGCGGTGGCTGCTGGGGAGGTTGCTGGGGCGGCGGGATCGGCTGTAGCGGTGTTGGCCTCGCAACACCATTTGGTGCTATTGGCTGAGGCTGCACTACTTGAGGATTTTCCAACCTTCTTATACAGTTACTGAGATGCTGCAGCAATCTCGCTCCAGCTTGAGGGTCTACTGGACCTTGACGTTGCATTGCGGTGGCAGCTAAGGTGGCGTTTGCAATAAACTGAGACACTTCTGTTGCACACTGAGTAAATCCAGCACGAAAACGTTCTGCGTAGGACATTTCAGGTTTGAGCACTAACTGTCCTCGCCTCTTGAGGCTGTGAAGGTGGCGAACGGTGAGTTCCAGGATGTCAGCCTTTTCTAGTTTGGAGACATTTTCTCCTTCAGCTTGCAGGGCGGTAACCATCAGGTCTTTGAGTTCATCAAGGCAGCGGTTGATGCGGGCTCTCCTCTTTCGTTCTAGCATTGGCTTCATAACTTTTCTATATTGGTAAGTTCGGGAGACGGGTTCCTCGTCGGGTTGCGCGTGCGCAGGCGGGTGGAAGGCGCCGTGCGGCGGCGACATAGTACGGGCGGGTAGGATCATTGGTGCGCGCGCGACGGTCTCTGAGCGAATGGCGCGCGCGCCGCCCGTCGCTTGCTTTTATGCGCCCTACACCGATTGTGGCAAAACGCCCGTGATAAAAGTAGGGGTGTCACTCGCAGGATTCTGTAAATAAAAGTATTTTATTTACTTGAATATTTAGTTTTGAAATTTTAAACTGTGATTAAAATAGAATTATTGTTTTGAATATAGTACCATGAATATTAATTAAGCTAATTAAAATAATACTTTTTTTAGGTAGGTAATATGATTTGATAATAATAATTATTGTTTGAAGTACCAGTCAGTGGACAGAATAATATAATTAATAATAATATTTTTATGTTTGTCTTTACTTTAAAATTGAAAAATAACAACAAATCAGACTTATAATAGAAATCTTTTTGGGACATGACAATTTCTTATAGATAAATTAATTGTTAATTAAAAAGTAGTAGACATGTTAAAAATTTTTACGTAAGGTTAGTATAAATAAAAAGTAAAAAATAAAGTAATAATATTTTTTTTAACTCAAGTTAAAAGTACGTCTACGTCTGTTAATTCATTACTATTATTACGTTTAAATCAATGTCGGTAAGATGAAACAGCTGTTCAGTGTACTGAGGGTCTTAGGTGATAGCAGCTGGCTAGTCACGAGTTCCCACGCGCACCCTCCTTACGTCACCCTGCGCACACGCACGCCAAGACGCTCCCCTTGATCCGCACGCCAAACTATCGCAATGATGTCACACGGACAAGGCGACTCGTGGCGATGAATTAAACAACTGCCACCACACCTTGATTTTCCCCCCTTCCCCTTTTTAAACTGAACAAAAAACTTGCATTTAAAAACTTATTACAATTTTTATAGCAAGTTCTTTTTGTTGTCATGGTCAATGGACGAATAGAAAAAGAAATTCTTTGGCATAAACTCGTTTTTGTAAGCTATTAATTTATACCAAGTAATATTTGTGAAAAAAAATTAAAAATGTTTGTAACAAGTGACAACCCTGTGTCGGCGGCGCGGGCGCAGTGCTACGGCGACATGAGGCGCGTTATCGCCTCCGTCGGTCATACAGACAGAGTGACGAATAGAAATTATTACTGTCGCACCGACTTTTTACTGCTTACGTGTGTTATTAATTATTATTTGTGGCTTGTGGCCTACTTCGGCAAATGTTGCCGTGACTGCCTGCACGGCTCACCACAAACTCTATGCATGTTTGTACAACACCAATGTGAGTTAGATTTTTCAAATATCTCTCCTATCTACCTCTGTCTTAGTTACTAGTTTTTTCTCTAAACCATTTATCGAGAAAATCATATTTCATATCAGTGATTTAGTTGACATGATTAATTCTATCTCGCAGTCATTTTAATCTCAACACAAGTTTCTGCAACTATAATATTAATAATGTAATTTTTCATGCTAATCCTAGAACACCACATAATACCGACCATTCATCACAAACAACATCCTTGAATAACAAAACATCATCCTAATTAGTTAGTCAAAACAATAACATTGACTTTGCAAAGGTGTGAGTCTGTTCCCAGCACCGCTAGTCGACTCGACACCGACCCATTGTGCGGTCGAAGCCGCCGTGACGCTACTTACTCCAATTCTGTCTTACGCCGCTAGACGGCAGAACGTCCTATGTGTCAACACCGCCTTCGGAATAGGCGAATCGTGCCACTAAGCGCGGGCCACTTGATACTTACGACCTGTCGACACTGAAGCCACTTTGACACGCGAGCGGATAACGGCGTAAGCGACGCTTCTGGTCGTAGCCAATGAGACGTTCTTCGTCGTAGCGCGGCGTCGTGGGAAAGCCCGTGCCGCGCGCGTTCCCACACACTCGGCCGGCACAAGCCAACCGATAAATTATCATAATTCCATTGTGAGTGAGACGGTACTAAGAAATTTTATACTTCATCAATCGCCGCGTTGAATACATTAGCGCGTGGGCACCGCTTTGTTGATACGGTGACGCAAGGAGCAAGGATACGCCCGACCTATTGCGGGTGTCCTTTTATTTTTTGTATCACGTATCTATTTTATGACAACAGCCATAAATTCCGTGGAGACGACGTAATATGGTGATGATATACATACACACACTGACTGTAATGTTAAGAATTTTGTGTGAAAAGTAAACCGAGAATTCCACCCACGTTGTTGAGCTAGATACATAATACGCCGTATGTACTTACTTACAACTTACAAGTAACGCTAAGTAAGAAAATATGTACGCACTGATCTTGCCGTTTCAATAATAAACATTCCAAAATTCCTACACTTGTAGTTAAACAGTACTTGGAAAATACCAGACCAGTAAAAATATATTGCGATTTATTTTATGGCGAACAATAGTCCCATGACAGCATTGGGAAATCATACGTATATTATATGGGAAAACTAAAGTCTAAATATAGAATGGAATAATTAATCGCAGAGCGTATGTAACGTGACATATTATTGAGTTCGAATTATTCATTTATGCTTGTTTAGGTACATGCTCAGAAAGATTCAATGCCCATTCATTTGTTACTGCACCGTGTGCCATCGCCCATGCTACTCATGATTATGGGCCCTGGATCAGCTTGAAATTAGTCGACTGAACAATACGAGTAAAATCTGGTTTTAGTTATTTCATTGTAAAAACGATGTTATAATTATAAAATTTACTTTCAGTTATATAATTGAGAAGGTAAATTTATAATATCCAAATGTAAATTATTTACAAAGGGCCTAATAGAAATTGTGGTAGGCATAAAGGCCATCGCTAGTTCGTAAGTCATAACTCGTTGTTCAGTGAGACTCCTTACACCAATGAAAGGTTAAATCGTGCCACGTCTCACGATTAGATTTGCTCAGTTTTATTACACTGAAGCTTCTGTTTTAGATTAATATAATATTATCAGTTTAAACGTTTATTTGGATTAAACGATTTTATTTTTACTCTTTCTGCATAAAAGTGGAGTGGACTGACTTGGATCTTGCAGTAAATTTTTGAGTGAGAGTACAAAGACAATTCTTTATTTAGTAGGTATTCTATTGGAGACAGACGTTGAGTTTGAGATTCATCCACATATTGCCGCTAAATATTATTACTTAATGATATAAGATTTTTTAAGGGCTAGCTTCGAATGGCTTCTCTCGCCTAGGTGAGACGGGAGGGAGTGTGTCTGACAAAATCATTAAATTACTTCTCGCGCTTTGGGCGGGCGAGAAGGCCTTGAAGACCAGAAGTAGGAATTAAGTAAGAGTCTGCTCTTACTGACTAAAAACCACCCCGTTCCTACTCCTGCACTTCGAGCCGGAGCCCCGGTAACCCGTTAAGTTCTCCGCGGCAATGATACGAGATGAGATTAAACTGTATGAGAGAACATTGTGTGCTAAGATATCATTCTGGTCGGAGCTGCAGACGACATTACGGTGCTTCGGCTCGAAGGAGAGGGAACATGGTAGTTTTCAGTCAGTAAGAGTCTTTTTTTTGAGGGGAAATCACTCAAAGACTTCTCCCGCCTTGGGTAAGGCAAGAGAAAGTGTCAGACTTGTACTGACTAAAAACCACCCCGTTACTACTTCTGGTCTTCGAGGCCTTCTCCCAAGGTGCGAGAATTTGAGTAATTTGATTTTCCCCGCTCAAAAAAGATATTATTATTTTAATTGCAACATAATCATATTATCTATTTGTTGTCGATTCAGATTTAATTCAGAATGCACATAGTTGACGATATTGACTGTTATAACTTTAACCAATTACTTACTACTCAAGGTTTACAAAATTCATTATGGGTGTCACAAACTATCCCTTTTGCTAACCTTGGTCAAACTATTTAATTCAAATTATTATCTAACAAACCAAAATACATAAAAACCCACAACTTCTAGCTATCCTCCTAGCTACATTTAAATATTTATTTTCAATTTCGGGTGTATTGAACCTTGCACACGACTTACCGACGTTTACCGAAGTGTTATCAATAAAAATCAACATGAAACCTATTTGTTATTTACTTAAAGCACTTGATATGAAAATATGTTATCGTTAAGTTAGTAGTAAAGGTCTCAAGTAAACAGGTGTGTACTTAGGACGCTTGGAAGTCACATTATTAAATGTCAATCCGATGTTATGAAGGAATTTTTGTTGGGAAGTTACGGCGTGGGGTTAATAGTTATGTATATTTGTTTATTGTTTTCTTATCCTTGTTTGTGTTATTGAAAGTTATAAGTTTTATTTTTTTCTAGATCTACTCTTTCAGATTCATTACTACGTAACAAGTATCCATAAGTTATCGGCTCATCTGAATTTAATTTTATTTGAATTATAATCACTTTAAATGTCCCACTTATTTATTTAACCTTTACCTACGTCTAATTTTTAATGTAATGAAAGCCGAAAGGAATAACTGTGTAAACCCCAAACAACAATAGTTATATATTAAAAATTATTTTAAAATGACATAAATGATACCTCACTGCATTCAGCCAACTTTCAGTTAGAAAGTATGAAATGTCAAACGGTGTTCTACAAAAGTGAATTTTCGCTGCAAACTCTTTAGACTGGTAACATGGTCGGTTTAGTACGAAGCATACTTATAGGTACTTACGTAGTGAGATACCCTGATAACATCTTATCTGGACTAGTTCTAGTAGTACCTAATATTAATACATTTTCTACAGATGACATAATATTATATCGTAGAATTTGATAATCAATATCTATGTACTTTTTTTTCTGAGGGGGGAAGTCATCCAATGACTTCTCCCGCCCGGGTGAGGCGAGAGGGAGTGTCAGACTCTTACTGAATAAAAACCACCCCGTTCCTACTCCTGCACTTCGAGCCGGCAACCCGTTAAGTCTTACGCGGCTCCTTAAATTTCTCTGTACTAGGTACTTAGCCATACTACATATGTATGTGTTCGTCATGTTATTCAAGAAATAGAGTTATTGTTTGTTTAGTTGGAGTTAGGGGTGGACTGTGTGTTTCTTTAT